AGAGAGAGAGAGAAGGTACATACTTTAGGATCACAAAAAAATTAAATGACAAATCCTGTAAGGAGGCAGAATTACACACGTGGTTGAATATTTACACAATATAATTTTGATAAATGTTTTAACTACTTTGCCTAACGTAACAAAACAGAATGTGATGAACTAGTAGAGGCACAACCAAGTAAACAACCACTTTAACTTAACATAGCTTGATAGGAATATTTATTTAAAAGTAAACTTTGAAATTGATGACATGTTTCACCGTTTTTTGTCATACTACTTCATTTTGTGGGAAATGGCACTATGTGAGTGATAGCCACAAACCAGCTCGGCTCCTTGTACCTTCACAGTCTGTTTCTCAAGGCTAGTTTGGATGTTGTCCAGCTGCAGCTGCTTCTGCTTGTTCTCTCTGGACAGTCGCTCCTGATGGACCTGCAGCTCCTTCACCTTCTGCAGGACCCGTCCAGACAGCCCCACTGTCCAGTCCTCCTCAGCCCAGCTCATCTCTTTCTGCCTGGGCCTACCAGAGTCAGACAGCACAAAAACTCAAACACAATCAAAAGTTTCTTCTACAGTTTGTCCGCATTATAAGACACTCTGGCGAAAACATTTTCTTTATAGTCTGAAAGGAACTGAGTGGCTGATTGTGTTTGTCATCAATGCCATAATGTGCCAGCTGACCTGTCCTAGTCCTGCCTGACAGATCCAGAATCAGACAGTTCCTGGAGTCATGGGAGTCAAAAGCTGGAGTGAAGAAACTAGAAACACGCACAGTCTGAAACAAAGAGGAAGTACAGGCCTGTTAAGTAAAGTGCAGGTAGTTCTGTGTCAGTTTGTGTTACATGTATCTAAACATCTTTCAATCATCTGTGCACCTCTAACTCTGTGTCCCGTCCTGAATATGTTATGTTGCTAAGGCTTTGATCCCTCTGGGAGACACTGGTTGTCACCACTGGGCAGCTGTGACTCAGTGTTTTCCAACACAGACTGCCTGCGATGTTCCAAGAGCACTTCCAAGCTGAAAATAAACCCTGCTTCTCTCTCAGACTTCTGCAACAATCGCTCCGTTTTCACACGAAAACTCAACATTACGGGTTAACACCAAGAAACGAACACAACCAGTGTTAAAAGTGAAAGGATCGGAATGAAGAAGAGCCTGATTGAACCTGTAGAGGTTAAATCTGAACTCGGTTTTGACATGCTTTGGAGCCTCAAGGCTATTAACACCATACCTCCAGTCAGAAAGTTTCTGTCATTGTTTACAGGTTGTGTCACTGTGTTTACCTGGCAGAAATACTCAACTGACCTGACAGGTGTATTTGTGAAACACACACCTCATATAACAACTTGATTAGCTACAAATACTGTAACAATACTTTTGTCGAGGGACATCCTACGAGTGAGTGTGTGTGTGTGATTTCATCAGGTTGACATGCTTCCATTTATAAGCTGCATTTGGTTTGGGGCTGCAACTACCAATTATTTTCACCATTTATTTATCTCACAGTGTCTTCCATTATTCATTAACTTCGAGTTTAGGTAACGAAAGGTGAAAAAGACCCTTGTCACAATTTCCCAGAGCCCAAATTGACATCCTTAAATGTTTTTATTTTGTCGGAAACCTATCTACCTAACCTAAAACTACATTAAATATAAAGCAGCAAATCCTCATATTTAAAAAAAGAAATGTGAATGTTTTTTCCTTGATAATTGACTTGATTAAAACTGAATAAAGTTTCAATTAATTATCAAAATTTAAACTTTCTGAACTTTCTGTCATCAACTAATTGTTCCAGCTACAGTCTGGTTTAATGACAACATATCAGAATAATAAAGTCCTGGACTTATCTCCACTGTTGTCACTAGTTTTATCACAGTCCACCTGCAGAGATATAAAACACACACTGCTTGGATTCATCCATGTTTCCAGTTAATCCACTGTAAAACTATTTTATTATTACATGACAGCCACTGAAACAGTGACGAGCAGTGTTAAGTTTCTTGGTGTTGATTTGTGTTTGCCTTCCTGAATGTCCTGAAGCAGCTGAAGCAGGTTTTGGTTCAGTGACAGACGGAGGACATCCAGACGCTGGACGCTGGCCTGTGCTCAACAAACGTCGGATCACGAGGTTCAAACAGAACAAGAGACAAGTTCAAACAGAACAAAAAAACACAAATTAATTTCAACGTAACATTAATCACGAACCCCTTCACTGTGTTAATCACAGCTGTAGCTCCTACTACCAGACGATACAGCCCTTTTGTGTCTCCTGTTAGCGCCGCTTGGTCCATCAGCGGTCAGTGATTGACAACTCACCTAGCACTGATGCTACGAGCTAACCCCACACTAAAGCTACTTACCATTCACTTTACCGACTTGTTGCAAAGAGCGCAGCCGCCAGGGAGCTCCCTCAGAGCGGGGACCGGGGCTCTCACACCGCCCGGCTCCGGTTCCTCTCGGTACTACGGACGGACGGACGCGTTCGACACAACCGAGGCGAGCAACTGACGTTAACTGACAGTTTTCATATCTCACGTTATGCCGCGCGTCTCGTGCAGCTGACAACCAACAGGAGTCGTTGTGGCACGAGGCGGAGCGGGGTCTGGTGACGTAGCGGGGGGGTGTTTTGGGGAAAGTCCTCGCGCCGGCGTGAACCTCTGATGACCTCTAGCGTCAGTACCTCACCACGACTCCGACCGCAGCCCCGTTGTCAGGGTAACGTGAGCGATATTTAACGACCTCACAACAGAGGCTCAGTCTCAGGAGGTAGTTTGAACGTAGGAATATATAATGATATGATATTTATTATATTTGACAGAAGTAACAAAACAAGTGATTTGTGCATTGGACTAACAGGAGGATATAATAAAAGTTTATTCCATATACAATTAGTTTATGGTAGTTTGAAAATGTAGTTATAAACTACCGAGTTTTCTTGATTTCATGATTTCAGCCTTGGTAACAATTATGATAATAATAATAATACATTTTATTTATAAAGCGCTTTTTTAGGAATTTAAAGACACTTCACTTAAGTTAAAATAAATAAAGAACATAAATAAAAACAACACACTAAAAAGGTGGAGTTGACTGTCTCAAACTCTCTGGACAATCTAGTAAGTGGACAATTTGTCTATTTCCAAGGTCCATAACACATTGTCACACTGAATGTTTTGTTTTAATTTGATTATAATTTGATTTGCTAATATGGGGATAGGCACTACTTGTAGTCTCAACCACACAATAAACCTGGAGCAATGTTTCAACATACCATATTGCTCTCAATTATGTACAGAAAGTGGACGGAAACGGGCTCAATTGGGTCCCAGCAACTCATTTTATCCATGGCGCCCCAGTACAGATTAATTCGTCTATGTGTCCAGCAATAGTTGATTTGTTAACCAAAATCAAAGTCACATTTCACACAGAAGTATGAGATTTGCATCCAATAAGTCAAAGTATGTTGATAACTTACAACTAGTGCTCAGTTGACACATCTTTATAATTCATAAACAGGTGGGGGGTATGTACAACAGATTTCATTTGTAGTTTTAGTATTACACCTCGTGCCTCTCCGGGTCTCACCACATACATAATGACTGAAATTGAGCAAGACACAGCTTCACTCTTGGCTGGTGGTAACCTCCTTTAGACTGTAAATGCTTTATCTGGTGACCCAATCTACGTTAATCCATTTGGTGACACTGCACAGAAACACACTGAAGAGATTTCTGTTCGATTAAACCACTTCTCAAGTTCTGTCTTAATTGGACACTTATATACATAAACATACTAAATAGTTACACACCATCACACGCATACATATTGATGAAGAGGTTACTATTACCAAGTCTTCTTGTCGTTTGAATGTATATGAATGAGTTTGACACATTCTTTTACTGCTTTACTAATGTCCGATAAAAATAAAATGTAATACTCGTAAGCATTTGGCTGAATATTATCTCTCTACATTTGAAAGACAGAAGCTCAGACATGCACCTGAGCTTACACTCAAACTGGGATATCATTGATCACCAATAACATGGTAAAATATCTATAAAATGGCTTTATTTTTGACACTTTTTGAAGCCACATCCTTAGTTCGATCAACTGTTTCTTGCTGAAACTGTTGTACAAAGTCACTTTGATATTTTAAAACTTCATCCATATACACACGTTGAATCTGACCAATTCAGGAGGCTTAATGTTAAGAAGATATTTTTTTTTTAGGACAGCTGAAGATGACAGGTGACAGGAAACGGAGGAGAGAGAGAAAGAGAAAACAATGGGAGGCGACATGCAGCAAAGGGCCACAGGTCGGAATCAAACCAGAGCCGCTGTATGGGACACACACTCTATTAGGTGAGCTACTGTGCGCCCCAGCTCAATATTAAAAAGAAGGTCAACTTTATTACAGTAAAATTTTGTTAAAAAAACTGTTAAACAAAACATTATCTGTGTATTAATGGAACTAGGTTTCTCTGATTACAGAATTATAGGTTAAAAAAAACACCTCTTTATTCTGCTGCAGGACAATGAAATCACATCAGAGTGCATCTTCAAACAGGCCTTTAAAAGATGGTTTGTAAGTTTAGCCACTGTATTCGAGTGTTACTGTATGCTGGAGTACTGCAATGTAAAACTCCTACAGCCTTTTTTGTTTTATATCTGGTGATTGTAGCTAGTGTTCAAACACTGGTTGATCACTCGCAGTAATACACAACCATTCCTGTTTAGTTACAGCAGTAACAGCATCCACTGTAGGCAACTGTAATTAGATTATAATAGTCATTACAATCACTTATTCTTCCAGGTAGGCTCTGGATTTGAATGTAATCTGGGATTTGGTGGCTCAGTGCTGAGTGGTGCAGAAACCCAGAAACTAGCCTGCAGTTACCTCCTATACACTGTCACAGGATACCGGCTGGTGGGACAGACTGCTAAAACCTGAGAGTTTACAAGTGTGAAAAAGAGATTATGTGGGCAGTTATGTAATCTTAGTGCAATGCTTGGTCATAACAGCCTGGTAATTACAGGTGTGCCTGAGGGATTATTGCCTTCTCCGTACTATAGGAGACCATTTTCAGACATACACCGTGTTATTTTCAAGGGTTGTGCTGTGCAGTTTAAAACCAGAAAGTATGCTGGTTAAAATGTCATGACTGCCGAGGAACATCTTCTGTCAGACACTCTGAAAGTGGTTTAAAATACTTTTGAGCAAGTTGTCCAGCTTGCTTGTATGTATAAAATGAAACCTTCTTTTAGTTTTTTACACATTCAGAAGAAAAGGGGCTGAAATGAAATTTAAAAAATAGCTTAATTAGACATCTATCTATTATATAAACACCCCACCTGAATTCTGTCAGTCACACACGCAAACACATACTCCTCGCCCAGGTGTACGCTCATGTGGGGTAAGCTCATCTCGTCACTCGCTCATTATTAATACAGGATTACATTTATTCTCAATCCCAAACTCACACTACACTCCACGCACTCCTCACAAAAGTGCACACACTGTCTGCCAAGGACCGTCAAAGGTAGCAAGGCAGTCAGGTAGCTGTGTGCCGGCGGCTGGAGTCGGAGGAGTTTCATCCTTTTTCAGTGTACATGGAGGCCTGCTGTTCATCTGGCTGCTAACAGAGGCTTTATCAGACAACAGGTGGATTTCTGTCAGACGAGAATACACTACAGTTTTGTAAATCCAGTTCCATGAAGGTAAGACCATAATTAAACTTCTATAATAGCATTTAGAGCAACAGGTGATAACGGTCTTCTTAAGAAAACATGTATTCATCAGTGATATGAGTTGTATTATTATACCTATGAGTCATGTTTTACTTGAACAGACTTTATACGAGATTTATCTAACACAAAGGTTTTACAGTATTTCAGAGGTTTCTGTTCGGCCTTATGAAGCTTAGATTTGTAAATATTTACAGTAGCTATGTAATTAAGTCCTTAATTCTGATCATTCATATCCAAATGTAAAAGACCTGCTACAGTCTGACTGCTGAGGTTATGACATTTTGCTTTGTCTGTATTCGCCAATATATTTCTAAAATACTACAACCCCAAATATAAACATGCTTAAATTTAGGTATGGTGAATGCCAGTTATAAATGATACTGGATTTGTGTTCTTAAACTACCATATAATTCCACCAGTTCTGTCCTTTCCAGATGTTTCCTTGGACTGCTGTTTTCTCCCTTGAACCTAAAGTGCCCGGCCAACGCAGCACTGAGGAACTGGTCACCAATACTCTGATGTTGGAGTTGGGGGCCATGGTGAAGCGCACTGAACGCATCCGTTTGGAGCGGGCAACAGAGGGTCGGCGCCGCCGGCGCAGTTCTTCCTCCACAGCTGATTACAGCTGGCTGGCCAGCAACCCAACCCCACAGCCCTACGAGCTGACACCCAACGACCTGCTGGAACTGCAGGACCTCTGTGCCAGGATCCCTCCTGCACAGTGTGGCCCTTTGATCGTCAGGTGAGAAAGAAAGATAAAGGGACACATCTATACAAAGTGGCAGAAACAGAGAGATATAACTGAAATTGAAACTGAGAAAGTCTGAGAGAGACTGAAACAGAGAGTGACATGTAGAACCAGGTACAAGCAGAAAAGATGCAGAGAAAAAAAGCCAGAGACCACCTTATAGACTGAAATAGAGAGTCAGACAGGTTGAAATGGACAAAGACAGCGAGGAGAAAAGAACATACAATACATACATAGCATATGAAGAGGAGAGAACAGCAGGATTTCAGTCTAATCCCTTGAAGTGTTATCTTAACACCCTTAACTATAACCTACAAAGTAAGCTGATACTCCCCCCGCCCCCTCAGGTGTGTAGGACTGGGGTGGGAAAGGGACTGAGTGTACAGTTTATACAGGCACTGTTTATACCGGACATTTACATACGTATTGGGCCATCTGAGCATCAAGTATGTCCGTTCAAACTAGAATACAATACAATACAAATTAGAATTTGTCTCCAAATGCGTCTTGAGTGAGCGGTCGTGATCGGATCTACCTTACCCGCTCTATAAGTAAATAAATAAATACATCATTCCTGTTTGCAAAGACCAAATGTGTTGTTGTTTTTAACCAGAGGCCCATTAGCCAACAACAAACAAATACAGTGTTTTGTATTAAAAAAAAAAGAAAATAACATAATGTATAACATTTGCTGAAATTACAAGAAGGCCCAAATAATTAACAAATGGTCGTAGAAAAAGTTTATTATCTTTCTCCTCACTCAACAACTCTTAAAATTGCATCATTTTTTAGGGAGTCTGGGGATATTGTGTCCAATGGTGAAATCAGTGGATTCACTAACTGCTGCTTATCTGTGCAGATAAGACTAGAGATGTAATGAGCATTACAGTGAAACCACGCAGCGTGTTTCCCGTGCACTTACAGCTGAGCCCAGTGATCCTTCAGTGTGGCCCAGAACACATTTGTGTACACGCCGCTAATATAATGAGGCCATATGCAGCCAGGACCACCTTCGAATGTGGTCTGAGCAATCAAATCTCAATGCGTCCTCAATGTGTCTTCACATCTGTACTTAGAGCTGTTCACTTGTGACCGGATCACCAAACACACACATTAATACAAGATGTTTTTGATTTGACATTTTCTAACAATTGATAAAAACAATTAATTACATTTCTACTATTCAACAACATTGTACTTCAGCCACAGCCTGTTCACCCTGCTGCCATCTGACAAGCGATACAGGAGTATCTGCTGCTGTAGACTATAGAGGAGCTTCTTTCCTCAATTAATCCTCCACGCGCCGCCATAAAGAAATTACAAGGAACTTCACACTTCACACATGCTGTACATACTTTCTGGGTGTATACGTGTATAAGAATATATGTATATAAGTATGTATAAAACAACGGTGTAATAAGTTATTCCCCCCCACTGCAGGTTTAGGAGATTGGTGTCACAGATGGAGCCGGAGGTTCACGAGGTTCCCCGTCTGTTTCGCACGGTTCTGCACGACTGCGTGGACGAGGTGAATTCAAATGAAGACGTGCAGGAACCCGTCATTGAGAAGCAGCAGCGCAGCAAGAGCCTCTCTTTTGATACTTTCCGCAGCAAGTTCCGGACGGGACACTTCTTCAAGGGCATGAGAGGCTCCAGGGGGAATCTGCAGCAGGAGGTGGATTGGTCAGATGAGGAGGAGGAGGATGGAGAAGGAGAGGAGGAGGCCATCAGGGCCAGGGCGAGGAAGGGAAGGAGCAGAAGCATGCCAGAGATCAGCCCTATGGAGCAGAGTGCCCATGGCTGAGAGAAGGGAGGGAGAGAGAGTCAGGGGAGAGACAACGGGAGGGAGAAGAGGAACAGTGCAGGTAGGGAAAGAAAATGAGGAGTAAGAACAGGAGGGAAAGTGAAGCACAAAATATAGATGGCTCAGCATGTTGTAAATATGGGGAGGAGGGGGAAAAAATGGGATGTTGAGGAAGGAGAGAAGGTAGCATTCAATGAAAAAGGGGACAGACTAGATTTGAGGAGCGTGGGCTTAGAACAAGTTCTTGACCCTCAGGAAATCCATCTAATTGCAAATGAATATGTAGTCTTTAGTCCATCCCAAAAGCAAATATTGTTTTCAGTTCAGAAACGTGGTTGTGCTGCTGGGTAACAACTTGTTAAAACAAGAGTAATGATACATTCACACTGCAGTAAAAGACCGAAATCGGATGTTCTTTTGGCCCATATGTGATTAAGATCTGCTTTACATGGAAACAGATATGGGCCACATTAAAAAAATAATGTGAACAGCCAAACAAAAAATCTGAATTGAGGACTAAAGCATGGCAGTGTGAACGTAGAAAGAGTCTACAGCCATGCTGGCGGCTCAGTGAGGCTGGGCTTAGGCACTGTAGTACTTTGAGCTAAATGCTAATGTCAACAAGCTCACAAAGACAATGCTAACATGCTGACGTTTAGCAGGCATAATTTTTACCATGTTCACCTTCTTAGTTTAGCGTGTTGTGTGCAGCACTAAACACAAAGTGCAGCTGATGGTGGTGGTGGGGATGTCATAGGTTTGCAGGTATGTGGTCATAAACTGAATTATTGGAGACATTAAAATCTTCTATCTAATGATGATGCTGGATGTCAGAGGAACACCAAAGTGACTACAATACATCCTGAGGGGAACATGGTGTGTACTAAAGTTAAAGGAAATCCATCCAATATTTATCAAGACATCTCACTCAAAACCACAAATGTTAACCTGCTACAGGAAATGTCAGAAAGTGATTAGGATACATCTCGGGGCCGCTTGCATGGCTAGTTGACAGCTGTCCTCTGCAGGGTCCTGCTCAGGCCACTGATCTGTATATTCTCATAGTGCATCCATCAAGCAATTGCTTTCAGTATGGAGAAATAAATACACAAAGTTCTCATCACTTCTATTTGGTTAAAACAGTTTTTTTTTCTTCCACAAAGA